TTCGAGTGATGTGATGTTATGTGAATACGGTGATGAACCTTTGGGAACACTAGACAAGCTAATTGACTCTGTTGATGTTCTTGATCACTCATGTTTCAATTTTTATGGCACTGTTTCTGTGGACTTACAAAATAACAAGATTTGGGGCGAAGGATTACTAGAAAATCATAAAAATTCAAAGGATGATCCTGAAGCACCATTCATGAATAACAAGACCAGGGGCCAAGGATTACTATAAAAACATAAAAATTCAGAGGATAATGATCTCGAAGCACGATCCACATCTATCAGCTGCATAAAGCCGTCTACTGATAGTAGATGGTCTTATGAAGTTGTTAAACTGCTCATTACTACTTATCAATAAAACAAACATAAATTTGAGTCGTCCATGTAGTCAAAAGAAGGAGTGAAAAGCTTGAGGAATTCAAAGTATTCCCAACAACATATAATCTCCAGAAGTTCAAAAAAAATTCCAATACCTACCTCCTATCCTTATCCTCCCTAGGAACGCACGATGTTCTTTGAACATTATAGGGATTCCCTTTCGTGCGCTCCAAGCGATAAAAAAAAAATACTCAAAAGTGGCCAAAAATGTGATGAGAAATGGCGTAATCTTAAGAAAACTTATGATAAAGTTTCTAAATATAAAAAATCCACTGGGAATGCCAATACATACTGGGGATTGAAATATATTTCAATGATCCACATTTCAATCCTGTGTTTACCTTATTCAGTACAGGTGTGAGCAAGAAAAGAGATGTGGATGATTCGGAAATTGATAGGAGCAATGAAACCCAGTCCAAAAAGATTATGCAGAAGGATAAGCCAAGTAACCCACTCACTGCTGCAGACATTTAGGCAAGGAAACAATTACGCCATGAAGAAAAAATCAATCAGAAAAAAGACATGTTTGAATGGTTTAAGGAAAATTTTAAAAATTAATAAATACAATGATAAGTAAAACTTTTCCAGATGAATATTTTTGTTATCTAAATTTAGTAGTTTTTTGATTCCACATCTGTTTGTGTTGAGAATCTCCATCATCCTGAAAGCAGAGTATTGTATGTTTTGTTTTTTTTTTCGATATTGTTAAGTTTGTTATTTGTTCCTCTGTATGGGTACCTACGTTATATTACCTAGCATTATTATCTCCTCATATAGATGAATTAGTACCTGATGCGTATTATTGGTAGTAATTATAATGAAACAATAATTTCTTCTTTTCATAACTTTATTGTTTATTATTCAACATTTCACACAAGTTTTTGTATTCCTAACTAGTGAAGTTGTCTTATATTTACATTTTCTTGTACTGGAACTTCATTCACCAGAACATTTTCTGCTTCTACTACATTTATTTCCATAATGTCGTTTTGTATAATGCAAATATTGTTTTCAATATCTTTGATATCAAAATATTTCAAATACCTGAACCTATTTTTCAGTAAAGCAGAAGCTCGTTCTATAGTGGATCTCACACATGATAACTTGTGATTAAAGTTTTTGTGACTGTTTGTCAGATAACCATTATTTTTATAAGGAATCATCATTGTTGACAAACAGGAATATGCTTTGTCAGCAACAAGATGAGAATCATTCTCGAATTTTCCAAATCTTTTAAGTGTAAAGTTCACTTCTTCTTGGCATTGGCATCTTGTGTTGATCCTACTTCCCCCACATAACAATGTGTGAACAACATCTGGTTATCACGAACTGCCTTCAATCTAAATAAGAAATATTGATCTAGAATGAAATATCTATCTATAGTTAGTGATTAGTGATCAGTAAATAGTATTTGTTTTTCGGTGTTGGAATTGGAATGTAGTAACCATCCACTACTCCCAAGGTAGTTGAAAACCCAGCCCATTCATTCAAAACCTGTTTTTACTGCTTGAATATAATCATCCCTGGGCCATTTGATGAACAGTTGCATAGTTTCCAATAATACTTCAGTTACTCCTCTGACCGTCCTTATGGCAGTGGCTTTGCCAAAGTTGAAACGACTGCAGATGGACCTGAGAAATAATATGTTGTTATTGGAATAATATTCAAGAAATACCGATAGCTTCAATTAGATACCTTTATATACTCATTCTTATGATATCATCTGGAGAATATAACAGATGGAACTTGAAAAAACTACATGTAACAATCTGGTGTACTGAAATACCAGAGTGTAAGTAACAGCTGGTCTTTAGGGGGGACAGAATGTCTACCAATTGCATCATCTGCACTTATTTTATCCTTAATCAATGACAGAATATGATCAAGAGTACCCCTAAATATTTTGAAATACTCCCGGAATTCTTCATCACTATAATTGTCCAAGTTTTAAGAAAATTTCATTATTCATCTGTATATGAGCCTACATCGACATCATATTCTTTACCTAATGGGTCTCGGATTTCTCATATATCTGTAAAACTAGTGTATTTGAGAATTTTGTGGAAATCTTATCGTTTGTGAAGTTTTTATATTTGCCATGGATTTCCATCAAGTAACGGCCGAGTCAATTCAAAATTCTCTTATATCATCATCATAATCATCAGAGTCAACGCTTGATGATAGTAATAAGAGCTCTTGAAAAAAAAATGTGCAATTGGAAATTGATTCATTTTTTCAAAATATTAATTATTTCCCACACTGACACAGAACCAGGAGAAGGCTCAGATAGAGGTTCAAATGCAACCGCTTTTTCAGACTACCGATTGTCAACCGCTGTCAAGATTGTGGTTGGTATTTGGTGACTTTCGAACCGTACCCTGGATTCACCATACAACTTCGTAGGTTGTTCTCTGGTAACAAAGGATATGTTCCAAAAGTAACCAGTTGCTAACCTAACCTAACCAGAAATTTGACAGCGGTTATCTGAAGAATTTATTATTGCTGGTTACTTTAGGAACACTATGGTGACATTTGTGACCGTTGTGACGAAAAATGACAATTAACAATAACAATTATGTACAAAGAAAAATAGCTGAATAGACGAAGTTTAAAATTTTATAAAAGTTTTAAAAATGAATTACGAAGTATGTGGATTCTTTTTTCAAGAATTACTTTTGACATCAGACGAGTCGTCAGAGGAAGACGAAAATCATAGAGGACCCCTAGTTCTCAAGCCAAAAATTAGAAATTTTGTGGAAGAGGTTGTAGATTCTTATACTGATGGAGAGTTCAGAAAACATTTCAGAATGTACAGATCCACATCCAACCATCTGCTCTCTGTTCTCGAAAATAAAATATTAGGTGAAAATATAATTGGCAGACACCCACTTTCAGCGAAAGAACATCTTTTACTGGCTCTCACCTATTTTTCAACTCCAGAAAGTTACAGGTATGGTATCATTCATTTGTATCTTGGGAAAATCTTAGAACCTATTTTGTATGATAATTTATTATACTCAAACTTGTTCAGAACTTATCAGACATGACTAAATGGGGTAAAAACATTCCCCAGATCCTGTCTCATCAAACTGAATGTTGAAAAACTTGCTGATTTTTCAAAAGTACGTTTATTTTCAGATCAATATCTCGCAGCTTCAATGTAGGTAAAGCCACTGGTTTACGAGCAGTGAGGAAAGTAACAATGGCAATTCTAGAGCTGGCACCAAGTTATATCAAATGGCCAAGTGGAGATTACGTTCAGAGGGTTCAAACTCATTTTAATGATATGGGTTTTCCAAACACAGTAGGGATTATTGATGGCTGTTATATTCCAATAAGTCAACCTAAACAAAATGGAATTTCTTATATAACAAGAAAGAACTTTCCAGCATTGATTCTCCAGGTAAGATAGATTACAATTTATTATTACAATTTATTTGAGTTAAGTAGTTTCAACTTGAATGTTTCAGGCTGTATGACCATAGAATGTTATTCACTCATTGCTATGCAGGAGAAGTCGGTTCAATTCATGATTCCAATGTTTTGAAGGGAAGTGAGGTGTTTGAGTATTAAACTACTTTGAGAGAAGAAAAATTTCCACATGACTCACATCTACTTGGAGATAAAGCTTATCCATGTCTGCAAACTTTGATGGTACCTTTCAAAGATAATAGCCATCTTACAGAGCCCCAAAGAAGATTCAACTATAATCTTTCGAAATCAAGATCCACAATAGAAAGAGCTTTTGCCTTACTCAAAAGAAGATTTCGACGATTGAAATATTTTGAAATGAAATGTGTAGAATGGACCTGCAAGTATATAATGGCTTGTTGTATACTTCACAATATCTGTATTATTCAAAATGATATATTTAATGTGAATAATGTTGAAATAGATGATATAGATGATGATAATAATCCTATAAATGAAGCAGTATATTCAGCTTTACAGAGAGTAGGAGTAAGAAAACGAGAATATATAATGAATGGGATGATTTAATAAATATTCAATAAAATAACAAAATACTTTTATTTCAAACCCACATGAGAAAATAACAGTCTAATCTTCCATGTTCTAAACACGAACTAAATCATATTTCATAGGAAATGAAAAATCACAATGATCTTTGGAACAAAAACTATGTTCTCCAACACTAAAAACTGAAGTAAACATCTCTAAGAAAAAAATAAAATATATTATGATCAGTTCATCAGGTGATTTTTTCAAGAGAATGTAGCACTAGCTGCTTTAGTTGTTACCTTCTTTTGGCCTATTCGATCCAAAATTTTCCTTGAACCAACTGAACATTTCAGCCTTCATTTTCATTTTTTCTTCATGACGTTGCTGTCGTCTGTCTTCAATTTGGGCAGAAGTTAGGGTTTTACTTTCTTTAGCTTTCTCTACCTTGCGTTTCTTGGCAAGTTGTTCCTCCGAACTAGATTCTATTGGCACATCTTCAGATATTTTTGGAGCTATACTGGTTTTTATTGACCCTGTACTGGACACTGTACATAGTGGATTGAAATGTGGGTCATGAAAATATATTTCATGGAAATCGTCAAAATATCTCCAATATGAATTAGAATTTCCAGTTAATTTCTTATCTTTATAAGAACCTTATCATAAGTTTTTTTCATATTCCTCCATTTTTCATCACATTTCAATGCAGATTTATTTGTTCCCAACTCTTTCAATCTCTCACTAATGATGTTCCATACATTCTTTTTGTTGTACATTGGAGATAAAAATTTATGTTTATGCTCTGTGTAGAGGCATATCAGAAGCTTGGTCTCCTGGTCTGACCAATTATTAGTGTCCTCTTTTCTATCAGAGGGAGGCTTGGTAGAACTTCCGCTGCTACTAGCCTTGTTCTCTCTATCAGTTTTATTTCTTTCTTTACAAGGTTCAGCAGGAGGCTTGGTAGAACTTCCACTGCTACTAGCATTGTTATTTCTATCAGTCTCAATTCTTTCTGCACAAGGTTTGAGAGAATTTTATGTGTTTCCATGTCGACATTTAAATCATCATACGATTTTAAACATATGTGAGAAATACATGAGGCAGCCATCAGATTTGCCAGTGTGCCCAATTCTTCCTGGCAATAACCACAAAAACACATATCTTTAGTCAGTTCAAGATCCTAAAAGACAATCGCAATTAATGATATACGTACTTATATGTAATTAAAAGAAAAAGTACCATAGTGAAATACTGCAACAACAATCCATAAATATTGCACAAAGATGGGCAATCGGCCTCAAGCTAGCCTCAAATAACAAATAACAACAAAAACAGTTTTCCTTTTCCATTTGTCACCTGTCAATCTCACCTCTCACCCATCTCTCACCGTAACAGAAGCATTGGTTAGTGAATTGACGTTTGGTTCACCAGCTTTCAGGTAACCATGTTTCAAATGTCACCACTTTTTCAGTATCACCGATCTAGCGGGGATTTTCGGAACACCTAACCGCATTTCCGGTGACTTTTGGAACATATCCAAAATAACGACCTCTTTTTCAAAAACCACGTTCCGTAAATAACCCTTTTTTCAGTTACCGACCAAGTATTTTACATTTACGGACCACATAATCATACCAAAACATCCAAGGGAACATATTTTCCGTGTGTCATATGGTTGATCGTTGTGTTTTGTGTCAGTGTCAGCGCTGTTACAGTCAGCACTGACAGACGATATTCATGTTGATGTAAAATTGGAGTAAATTCGAAGACAGAAGCAGAAAGCGACAAAAAGTTGAATATCGAGGAGATAAATTGGAGGAGTACAGTATTTGCATTTGGTAATACCAGAATTTCATGTTGGATTCCGACGGATCTTCGGATGATAGTAGTGATGACGACGATGTTGCATCGAACTTGTTTTCTCTATTCACCATAGTTGCAGACGAACAAAAAGTTGTGAGGTCTAATGATTATTTTGATAGTATAGAAGGATTCAGTGACACGGAATTTCAACATAATTTTCGTCTTGCCAGACAAGCATTCAACTCACTTCGTTTCGTCGATAATTCTTAAGTGGTTTGATTAATGGACTGTATGAAATTGACAATAAATCCGAAATAAAGCGAGGGCACTAAACGGACTCACCTCCAGTGGACGCCATAGACTGGTGTTCTTGACTGCCGGTGAAAGGGCCCTTTCTAATGATCTTCGTAATCGATTGTGAGGTCTAGCACCTCACCAATCCTCCATAACACTGGAAAATAGCACAGAAAAGTTCCGCGATTAATTCCGACACTTTTGTATGTAGAAAAGTCTCGTGTTCGCGCCAGTAAAAAGTTATTGCGGTAGTACCTAGCGTACTCGTATTTCTGCTCTGTCCTCGGGTACGTTCAAAATATATAGAAGAAATATCAAAACAAAAATTATAACAACCACTTAAGTGTGTTAACGCAATACACTTCATGATTTGATGAGAGAGGATTTACAGAAGTCAACTGCTTTTGGGTCAGAAATGATAAACCCAAAATATCAATTGTTAGCAACTATCTGGCTTTCGGGCTTTTGAGCACACCTGACAGTTATAGGTTGGTATATATATTTTTTTATCGCTTGGAGCGCACGGAAAGAAATCCCTATAAATGTTCAAAGAACATCGTGCGTTCCTAGGGAGGATCGGGACAGGAGGTAGGTATTGGAATTTTTCTTGAACTTCTGGAGATTATATGTTGTTGGGAATAGTTCCTGAGGCAATGAATTCCAGAGCCTGGCCGTTCTATGGATGAAGGAGTTTTGATAAAGTTCTGTTCGACAACTTTCGAGGTTGACTACGAAAGGATGTGCTGACTGGACTTGTCTCGCCTGAGTGACATTGCTAGTGACGGGATGATAGCTGAGATTTCCGAAGAACATTGCCCGTGGAAGTATCGATAGAAAAGTGAAAGGTCGCCGACCTTTCTACGGTGTTCCAGTGAGTGAGTGTGGCGTCACCCACCAGGCGAATGGCTCTTTTCTGGATGGAATCTAAGAGCATCAGCGTATGTTTCGGTGCTGAACCCCATATGTGAGAACAGTATTCTAGAACAGGCCGTATCTGCGCTTTGTAGATCATAAGAAGCTGTTGAGGTGTGAAGTAGCTTTTCGCACGGAACAAGAATCCGAGTTTTTGTGATGGATCTGACATGATTATTCCATGAAAGAGTGTTGCTGATGGAAATACCGAGCATAGATAGGTGGGCTTGGTGGAGATGGTGATGCCAGACATTACGATATCGGGCATACTGAGTTCCGCCTTTCTAGAGGAAATACAGGCTTGAGTTTTGGTGGCGTTGGATTCAACTATGTTGTTGGTTCCCCAGGCTGTGATTTCAGCAAGGTCTTTATTGACAGCATTGACATGCCTGCGCCGCGAGTTCTTAGTTTCCTGGGAAGAAATGGGAACTCTGGAAGAGACCGCAGCATGGAGGGTACTATCATCTGCAAAGCTGTGGATGGGGCAAGTTGTTACTCCCAACAGATCATTGATATGAAGAAGGAATAATGTTGGTGCCAAAATTGATCCTTGTGGAACGCCGGAATTGATGCCAATGGTGTCTGACGAGTCCATCACCATGTGAAGCGATCTGCCTGAAAGAAAACTCGATAAGAGATGGCATATAGTTGAAGTGGTAAACCGTGTGATGGTAGTTTGTGGAGGAGTCCTTCGTGCCATGTTATTGGTTGACGTTTTTGAAAATTTTTGAGACATGTGTCATACAACATACGGATCAGATCCTGCTCATTACTATACTTTGTTTGTGGAGGAGTCCTTCGCGCCAAAAACGGTTGAATGCTTTCGATATGTCCAACGCGACAGCTAGAGATTCCCCGTGTTTTTCTAATGAAGCTTGCCATAAATGGTTGACGTAGGCTAGTAGATCTCCAGTAGATCTTCGGTGGCGAAAGCCGTATTGTCTATAATTGATAATTCCTGAGCTCTCCAGATATTTGATGGTCAGATATAATTATATTTTTCTAGGAGTTCCTACTGTTTTAATTTCCATTTCTTCGTTTTGATATGAATTATTGTCCTTTCAAGGTCCATGATTTGAAGTATTACTTTATATTAACTTAATTGTGAAACTATAGTGAACGCAAGTGAACTGTATTGTCAAGGTATGAAGGTCTAAAATTTGCAGACCGGCGTAGTACCATCAACCATCTCGAATGGTGAATATTCACTGAGTTGAAATAGGAATATTTTCAGGAAAGGTGGAAGAAATTTGGGAAAGTAATTAGGAAACAGTGATTCGTATATTCAAACTTTGATAGGTCACGACACTGATCGAAACAAATTGTTCTATATAATTTTGAACTCAAATTCATCAAACGAGAACTCGAAGTACCGGGCAGGTTTTTACTGAATCATACTACTGCTGTACGTCCAAGCACAGCACACTCTCGTGCCATTTACGATAAGCCCGTTTTTTCGTTCACCTTTGACTTGCGCCTCAGGTGGATATTGTGATCACGTTAATTATCAAGTATAGACAACCCATACTACAAATTCAATAGGCATCAGCCAGAACAGTCCAATTGTGGGCGATTTGACATGGCAAAATCTAGTTTGTTCACATGTTTTGTAAGGGTTGTGAGGGCATTGAATGAAATCTCCCCTAAAATAATAAAGTGGCCCTCTAAGGAGAAAGCAATAGAAATGTCCATGGATTTCTACATTATGTCAGGAATCCAAGGAGTTATTAGTGCTATTGATGGGACATATTCAGAAATTGAGGCACCTAGCGAAAATTCGGAGGTATACTTGAGATGTCTGTGAAAGTTTGTTTCCTTCAAATAATTTATAGGAACTGATTTTTCATGATTCGAATTCATATGCTGTATTCATGAACTTGAGATTAATTTGCCTTATTACAGTTTTGATTGAATAGGTTTCGAAAAATTGTAGGTTTATATAAATCGGAAATGCTTTCATGGCATAACACTTCAGGCAGTTTGTGACAGTAAACGAAAATTCACTGATGTGTTCACTGGGTATCCAAGTTCTGTGAGTGATGTTAGGATCTTCAAGAACTCACAAATCTTTAAGGACATCATCAATAATCAAGATTTTTTTTAAGATAATCAGTTTATACTTGGTGATAGAGCTCATATGAAGGCAGGAACAATTGTTGATGTTTCAGAAGAGCATCGTCAATGGAAATATCTATAAAATAGAGCCAGATCGACAAATTTTCTACGGTGTTCCTGAGAAGTGAATGAGTTTGTAGGGTAGGCATCACCCACGAGACGAATTGCCCTTTTTCGAACAGAATCTAACAGTTTCAGAGTTTGTTTGGGTGCTGCACTTCAAATATGGGAACAGTATTCCAAGAATGAATAATGAATGTTACAGGTGATGAGGGAGATGCTGGTTTAGCAAATCCATTCAACCAACATCAATCCTCCCAACAAGGCAGTGAACGGCGAGAGTACATTGCTCATAGACTTTCCAGATCAGAAAAATGAGTTTTATGTTAACCACTATTTCTTTTTGAATTTTGTGTGATATCTTCGAGAGTTTGATTAACAATAAATGAATAAACACAGAAAATGAATGAATTGATAAAATACCTACATCATTACCTACTTTCAAGTATAGCTACCTACAGGGTGTCCGGAAATCATGCGAAAAAAATCAAGGGGGTGATTCTGCATGTAATTTCTTTGCACACTCGTCGTATCTTTGGTACAATATCATTTCTCTACAATTTACTGCACAATAGTATTTCCTGTGCCTCACTTTTACAAAAAATCAACTTTCATATTCCTCGCCTTAATTCTAGAAGTGAGACGACCTTTTATTGTGAAAATATTCGAACAAACGTAATGCGCAGGGCACCAGTGTCGTTAATGTGTTCTAATTATAATTTGATCTGTGATGTATGTGATATCAATGTGAGCACTCTCAAATATATTTTGGAATGTATCATCAATAGATTGTAAACTTCTCCTTTTTTTTTTCTCTCACTTTAGTTT